GGAAAATAAATAGAGATTACTAGAGAGGAGATAGATAGATAGATAGATAGATAGATAGATAGATAGATAGATAGATTGATAGATAGAAAGATAGGTAGGTAGATAGATAGAAGAAGACGGCCTTTGCTACAGAGGCTCCAGTCCGGGTTTATGAGGCCCCAGAAGTCGGTACCTGCAATGGAAAATAAATAGAGATTACTAGAGAGGAGATAGATAGATAGATAGATAGATAGATAGATAGATAGATAGATTGATAGATAGAAAGATAGGTAGGTAGATAGATAGAAGAAGACGGCCTTTGCTACAGAGGCTCCAGTCCGGGTTTATGAGGCCCCAGAAGTCGGTACCTGGAGTGGAAAATAAATAGAGATTACTAGAGAGGAGATAGATTTATAGATAGATTGATAAATAGATAGATAGATTGATAGATTGATAGATAGATAAATAGATAGGTAGATAGATAGATAGATAGATAGATAGATAGAAGAAGAAGAAGACGAACAATAATAATAATAATAATAATAATAATAATAATAATAATAATAATAATAATAATAATAATGATAAGACGAAGAAGAAGAAGACGAAGAAGACGAAGAAGAAGAAGAAGAAGAAGAAGAAGAAGAAGAAGAAGAAGAAGAAGAAGAAGAAGAAGAAGAAGAAGAAGAAGAAGAAGAAGAAGAAGAAAAAGATTAAGTGACTTGATAGGTAGAAAGGGTAAACAATAGGTTTAATTTTAAAAAAGGGTTATGTGACTTGTTAGGTATAAAAGTAAATATAGTTTAAAGTGGAAGAAAATTAGGTTTAAAGAATGAAAAAAAAAGTTTTATGCAAAGAAAAAAGGAAGAAAACAACAACACATGACTTGATAGGTATAGGGAGTAAAAAATAGTTTTAATTAAAAAAAGGGTTATGTGACATGATAGGTAAAGACGATAAGAACAATGTTTTTATTAACATAAAAATCTAAACATCATTAAAAGTTTTGTAATATTGCATGTTCTTACTTCCTTCCCGTATTGCTTTTGAGGTCAGGTTGATTAATGAGGTCACGGGATGTCAAGAGTCACCAGAACCTCGGGTCGATAGATACATTATCTACTTTGGTTCCTTTTTATCACCTAATATGCTCCTTGAAGTCATTTTTCATAGTCCTTTGCTATTACTTCCATGCTCTTCCGTTGTAATTTCTCAAGAATGTTGCGGTTTTCTGAGGATCTCGTTAAAGCGTTTTTGAAGAATGTTAACTAAGTTTTGTTACCCTTACTTGTAATTTATAGATATATGAGGTATGAATCTGTGTGTTTAAAGATGATTACAGGTTTGTATATATGCAGAATTCAGGTACACAAGGACTGATTTTAATACTAGAGACGAGTAAGGTTACATTCCACATATCTAAACCCAATTAGAAAACATAACTCATATGCAAATAGGAGAGAGAGAGAGAGAGAGAAAAAATATGTAACAATATGGATAGAATTGACTAATAACATTAGCATATATGGAAATGTGATTTCAACCTTGGTACTATATTAGAAAAAAATATACGTATATACTCACGCAATATTTACGCAGGTACATATTAAGTTCTGCTTTAAAAATGTCATACGATCTCACCCTCAAACATAATGAAATGTGGTGTCTCTATATACCGTCCGTTCTCGGGGCCTTTACAAGAGGCGTAGAAAATGCAAAATTCAGGGACTATGCCGAATTTAAATGGCCCGAGGCAGAATAACTTTAAAACCAAACTCTTCAGAAGCGAGTAATAAAGAATACCACAATTATGCCCGAAGGTTCACATGATAATACAAAGGAGGTCATTATGCAGATGTATTTTAAAATATCAGCGCGATCTACTCCTGACCTTGGCGGGACGGGACGGGATGAGGAAAAGGTAGAAATGGGATGAGACGGAAGGAGAAGAAGAAGGAAAGAGAGAGAGAGAGAGAGAGAGAGAGAGAGAGAGAGAGAGAGAGAGAGAGAGAGAGAAATAGATAGATAGATAGATAGATAGATAGATAGATAGATAGAGAGAGAGAGAGGAAGAGAGTGAGATAGATAGATAGATAGAGATAGAGATAGATAGATAGATAGATAGATAGATAGATAGATAGAGCGAGAGAGCGAGAGAGCGAGAGAGAGAGAGAGAGAGAGAGAGAGAGAGAGAGAGAGCGAGAGAGAGAGAGAGAGAGAGAGAGAGAGAGAGAGAGAGAGAGAGAGAGAGAGAGAGAGAGAGAGAGAGAGAGAGAGAGAGAGAGAGAGAGAGAGAGAGAGAGAGAGAGAGATAGAGATAGAGAGAGAGACACAGAGAGAGAGAGGCATATGGATGCTTAGATGAAAAAAATGCACAATATGAACCATTCTTCTAACACATTACTTTAACAAATCTCGCATTCTTATTCCTCCTAAACTTGGCTTCTTCACAAAGTTCTCCGCACTCTCAGAGATAATCCCGGAAACAGAGGAAACACAAACTGAATAAACGACTGAACTCCAATAACCGAAAAGATTATCATACACAAAATAAAGAAGAAGAAAATCATCACATCACCTTTTACAAAACTAAACTACCTCAATTTCAGGAACGGAAAAAAGGAAAGGCAAAGACACCATACAACACCTTCACAACAGAGCTGAGAAAACAGGAGACGAGGGTAGGAACAATGAGAAATCAGCTGATGACAAGTGTCCCTCCAGCCACCTGTACACTGATCCTATGGCGAGTGTTTTTAGGACAATTCGTAACAGCAGGATTTTTTTTTTCGGTTAGTTAGTTCCATCCTTTGTCTTTCTGGGGAATATTTCTCTCCTCTTATCTTGATAGTTTAATTCATGATGATAATGGTGATGGTATTTATGAGAGTAATAAGAATGATATAGATAATAATGATTAATTATAGTAATGATTAATTATAATAATGATAACAATGGTAATGATAATAATAGTAAGGATATAATAATGATGATGATAATGATAAAAACAGTAGGAATATAAAAAATAATGGTAACGATAAGGATAACAGTAATAATAATGATAATGGTGAGGATAAATCTCCTCCTCCTCGTCATCATCGTCCTCATCATCATCACCATCACCATAACTATCACAAACATCACCAAAGAGATATACCGAAATCACTGCATGGTGTCTCATGGCTCATGTCCCTAATCTCTACCATTAAAAGTAAATTTGCAAGTCATCTTCCGATCTCCCCTCTTCGTTTACCGTTGACACCCAGGAACCAGTAAACAACCACATTTAACCCTTTATAATAACGAACTCCACAATTCACCAATATTCGACGATTCTACCTATAATAATAATAATGATAATAATAATAATAATAATAATGATAATAATAATAATAATAATAATGATAATAATAATAATAATAATGATAATAATAATAATAATAATAATATCAACAACAACAACAACAACAACAACAACAATAATGATAATAATAATGATCATAATAATAAAAAAGAATAGTTTCGAAGTCCTTAGAGATTTTTGGACACCAGAATACCCCCCACCCCCTCCCCCCTACACAGACACCAGACTTCTGCCGCGATCCCAAGATACTCGAGCAAAATGCGAAAGGATCGACCCACTCCGGGAAGAGGTGTTGCTCTGTATTAGGAAGAGATCCACTTCTTACAAGTTATTGATGCGGTGGCTCCAGACGGTCTGGGAAAATCCTCGTCTTTAAAATAATTGATTTTTGTTTTCATGGCCCAAGAATGCTGCGCTGAAGAGGCCTTTGTTTCTGTCAAATGGAGCTGCAGGTCATGGTAACTCTGGGATATCTCATAGCTAAGTATAAGTGAAATCTTCATTCCAAGGCGATTTTTAGGGTCAGAGAATACTGACCTTCATCATATTTTTAAGATACTTGATTTTCATGGCCAGAGAACGCTGGGCTGAGTTGTTTTTGACTGCCAACGCAAGGGCCTGCAGTTCAAGGTAAAAATATCTCACGACTAAGCACAAATGTAATTATTATCTGGAATATCTGATGTCTAAGTATAAATGAAATCTTCAAGATGATTGATTTAATGTCTTAAAAATTCATTGCTGAGATAATATTTGCCTACCATCAAATGAACTGCAAGTCATGCTAACTGGAATATCTCATAACTAAATATAACTACGTGTACTTCTTAATCATAGCAAATCTGAACTAAAATGCTATACAGTACTGATTAAAATGCATGTCCGAGTGCCACCCATTGTTATAACTTCTCCAAAGATCCAGCCGAGGTTTGATATCTTCACTGAAGCGGTTTCACGCAGCCTACATGAGTATGAGGGAACTTCGGGTCCGAGAAGTTGTCCTAACTAAAATGATTTTCTGGAAACCAAAGAGGAACATCACTCTTGCAAGTTCGGCAGCGGGATCAGGATGCCCGGAGCAAAGCAAAGCAGGGAAGGAAAATTGTAATCGGCACTGTCAGGCTTGGGTCAATGTCATGCACAAAATAAATCATGGCGGTTTAGCGTTTGAGAAAATGACGGTACACACTGCACTAAGGGCCTTGTCAAGAGCCATTTTTATTTATTTCGCTTCAGTCTGATGAACGGCCAATAACTCGACCTTGATCTAAGGATCGGCAACTGTTTCATCTCAAGCCTTACACAATTTCGTTGGACAGAACTACCTAACTTTAGGCTATGGGACTAGACGTAAGCAAACCTTGCGCTCAGGGACTATATCTAGCTCTTTTGATCTTATGGCTTTCTTTGTATAAATACACACACACACACACACACACACACACACACACACACACACACACACACACACACACACACACACACACACACACACACACACACACACACACATACACACACACACACACACACACGCATATATATATATATATATATATATATATATATATATATATATATATATATATATATATATATACATATATACACATATATACATACGCACATAAACATGTGTGTGTACATGTATAAGTAT